GCCAACCACAATATGTTTTTACTGGTCTATGACTGTAATAAAGATTGAACTGAACACAATATGTTTTATTAATTAATCTTTTTTTTCAGAGAAAAGGTTACTGAACTTAGAAATGATCAAAGTTCATGCGTCAAACTAATAAGAAAGTATTTAGAAGAAAGTGGCAACCAATTCAAACATTTAATGTGATTTATATAATAAATTGTCTATGGGGCCACATTCTGCATTAAAGGCAGCTTCTGAGCAGTCTCCAAGGGCAGCCCTGCCTAAAGCACATTGCAGTAGTCCAGCTGCCTTTTGCTTGAACCTGTTTTACAATTGGTTCTTCAAGCGTTTCCTTCTTCAGCGTTTGGAGAGATATATTTTGGGCAGCAGCACTTTGATACACACACACACCGGTAGTCCTTGCATAATGACCACAATATGGACCGGAAAATTGGTTGTTAAGCGAATTGGACCTGATTTTATGACCTTTTTTTGTGGTGGTTGTTAAGCAAATCACGTGGTCATTAAACAAATCCAGCTTCCCCCATTGACTTTCCTTGTTGGAAGCCCCCTGGGAAGGTCACAATTGGTGATCATGTGACCCCAGGACATTGTAACCATCGTGAGAGGACCAGTTGTAAGTCACTTTTTAGCGCCGTTGTAACTTTGAATGGTCACTAACCGAATGGTTGTTAAATGAGGACTACCTGTACACACACATATATACATATACATACACACACACACAACACACATATATATTTTAGCCATGTGATATTTACTGGGTTTTACTACTTTGTGCTAATCTGGATTTTTATTTTGGTTATTTTTGCTCTGCTGGATTTTGCCCTGCATTTGCTCTGCTTTAAATGGCTTGGCCAATGACAAACTACTCTGTATATTTGCCTCTAAGGGGCATTTAATGAATACTGAACTGTATATTGTTACATTACTAGAACAACTTAATGATTAGTATTAGCAGACACCACCACAATTCCTAGGTAGCGTACAAAAAGCAATGAAAACAGAACCTGCAGCCATACCAATTATCTGTGATTAGTATTATGTATATGATGCATAATGTATAACGAATACATAAATTGTCATACATCTTATATAATATATAAATTGGGAAACTGCTCTCTTTGCGGCTCCGAAAAAGATGTCAGGGTAGAGATAACCGGGTGCAGGGACGGTCCCACTTCCCCCCAACAGTAACCCCCAACTAGAGTCCTCCATCCCTCCAAGGTGGCTGGACTCCTTGTCCCATTATCCCCTGAAAAAAAAAACCCTGGCTGTTTTTATCATTTAAGAAGCAGCGTTTATTTTTCTTCTGATAAAAGCAGCTTGTAATATTTAATACCAAGAGGACTCACAAAGTCAGGCTTTAGAGTGCCCATCACGCTTAGCCATAACATGGCTTGTTCACATGCGGTTTGAACCCAACGATGGCAGCTTGGGAACCATGGTTAGGATCTCCTGGCTGCACCGATCCAGCTAAGATGGTTCTATCGCATCGAAGGGCGAGCAGAATCGAAGGGCTTTCGTTTGCATTTATGTACAGAATTTGGAAGCAGACTCTCTGGCTGCAATTCTTGCGTTCTTCCTTTACCCTTTTTCAGAATAAATCATATTCATCTGAACTCAGAGATCTTGTTTCTTGGCTAATGGTTGCTGGGGGGGAGTCCAGCCAAGAGGATGGGAACTGTAGTCCCATGTTCTGGAATGGAAACATGGGAGGGAAGGAATGGCAATGCTGGGTGGGGACTGATGGGAGTTGTAGTCAGCCCATCTAGAGAGAAATCGGGTGCGAAAGGGGAACTGGAGGGGCGGTTGGGAAGCATTGTCCAACAGGTTGGGAAGGTTGGGAAGGAGGAGGTCATGCTGGGGGTGGAGCAATGGGTGTTGTAGTCCAGTATCAGCAGGAAGAGGAAGACAATTCTACTTGGGGAGTTCAAAAGGCTGAGTCAGGGAGAAAAGCAATGCGGGTTTGAGGATAATGGGCAATGGAGTCCAATAGGCTGCATGGGACAACCAGGGAGGTTATCTATACTGGCTAGGCACGATAGGAGTTGCAGTCTGTGTGGCCCCCAGCGCAGGAAGGGGGATCTTGCTGGCTGTGGAGCATGGGCACTGACATCTAGGCTGCCCACAGGACACTGGAGGGCTCTGCTAGCTGTGGAGCATGGGCACTGAAATCTAGCCCTTCCCTGCAAGGTAGTGGAGGACACTTTGTTGGCTGTGGAGCATGGGCAGTTGAGTGTAGGCTGCCCACAAGTGGTGGAGGTTGCTGGCCATGGAGCATGGGCACTGGCGTTTTGGCCACCGGAGGGGAGGCTGTACTGGCTGTGGAGCATAGGCAATGGAGTCTAGGCTGCTCACAAGACAGTGGGCACTTTGTGGCTGCGGGGCATGGGCGCCGGAGTCCTGGGCACCCGAGAAGAGGCTCGGCTGGCCGTGGGATGGGCCCTGGCGTGTGGGCTGCGCAGAGGTCAGCGGGGGAGCGGCGTGCCGGCGGAGGCGCATGGGCCCCGGGGTCCCGGCCCCGGCGAGGAGGGAGGCAGGCAGGCAGGCCGGGAGGGGGGCGCG